TTTCCACGCCCAGATAAAAATTAAAATATCATCTGGGCAAGTTTAGGAGTGCCTTTCCTTTCCTCTTCTTCTATAGATTTGTTGGCCATTGTGTTATCTTGGCTGTAAAACCAGTAATTGCTTAGTATAATCAGGGCAAGCATAGTTTTTTGTCTTTCAGGAATCAATGTAACTAATTTGTTGTGAGCCAGATCTATTTTTACTTTATCTTAAAATAAATATATTACAATCTGCATGCATTTCTGAACGGATTTAATGGGAAAAAAGCTCTCTCTGTCATTTGCTCAATATTAACCTAAGCCTTTTGACTTTAAATAATCTGCTCTCACCTTGCCATGCTTATCAGCTGGAATTTTTTTTAATGGTTTTCAGATTGCAGTTGTATGACTTGGTCGAGCTAAAAGTATCAGGAGATGGCAATTGCCAGGTTGGTTTTTTGACATCCCCATGCAATAGTATTACCTATGTGTTATAAGGGCTGAGTTTTATTGTCAAATTATATAACTGCAACTTCACTTCAATGATATCTTTGACAGAAGTGTCATAGTTTCTTGATTATGCTTTATGCATCTAGTGGGCACATATCCTGATAATTGCATAATTGTTTGTTTGGATTACATTGATGGCATCTCTCTGAGGGTTGAACAGTTACTTTTCTATATTGAAGTAATTATATTGCCTTCCTAGGAATCTGTTAATTACTTTTGGTAATTTATAGGTCTTTAAGATTTTTGAGACTCAAATAATTTGAGAAAGGATGTATTTTGGTCTTACCAACTAAAATAAGTATATTATGAGTCCCTTCTTTGTTATCATTCTGGATTTCACCTCTCAAGTTGCATGCAACAAAGGTTCAGAAAAAAAAACTCCAGTGCTGATGTCATTTCCCTACCTGCTTGGGAGTGTATGCTAAAGCAACTGTCTACTGTGGTCTGATAAGGTATTTAAGGTGCTATTTACGTGGTTTCTTTGTGGTTTTATGGTAAATGTCTCTGTAGTGTAAAATTGCAACTTGTGTCCTACCCCTTCCCCCAAACCCCGCACTTTGTGGAACATAGGTTCTTGCTTAAAAGCTTAGCTATCACGCTACGTCAAGTCTGTGCTGTTTTTCACTAGATCGAGTTTTCCCTTTTAGTAAGAATATCATATTGTGTCTCTGAGTTCATATGGCTTTGGCTCGTGGATAGATGAGTTGTTTTATTTGATGTTATGTGTTCTTTCTCTTCTTTTTGGGCGTTAGTATACTTTATCGAAGTGAGTCTTATATCTTGATTCAGATTTTTGTTTTAGTGTCGTCGTGTTATGATCAATGACTTTCACATCTATTGGTTTCCCTGTAGTTCCGCTCCTTGTCGGATCAAATATATCGTACTCCTGAGCATCACAAGTTTGTTAGACAGCAAATTGTCACCCAGGTTGTTTACTGTTAAATTTTTAGAATGACTTATTATCCTTATAGGAAATCAGTATGTTTAATTCTAGTGATAGATTTTGTGTTCTATTGAATGCTAATAATTCCTTTTGGTCAATTTGATCAGCTTCAATCTCATCCAGAGTTGTATGAAGGTTATGTTCCCATGGCCTATGATGACTACTTGAAAAGAATAACCAAGTATTCATCTCGCTTCTGTTGTCTTCTCTTCCATGGTGTGTTTTAGACTATTTCCTTGTTATGTGTTTATTTCCTATTGATATCTAGTTTAACCTTACAGGACTGGCGAATGGGGTGATCATGTCACACTGCAGGCAGCAGCAGATTCGGTAAAAGGCCTCACTTTTCCTCTGTCTGAGCTTGTTTTGGTTTAGTCTTCTTTCATTTTTCTGCAAAATGGAGTAGAAGATGGTTTCTATATCCACAAAAAGGGTAGCATATCTATAAGCAGGTCCTTTCAGTCAGATTTCTATAATAAATTTTCCTTGAATTGCTGAACCTGCATTTGGCACACATTAATTAGCTGCAAGTTAGGGGCTTAAAATTTGCATAGATAAATTCTCACCAATATTCCTTGCCTTTTTTAGGATGTGTCGTCATTCTTTGAATGTGACTTTGCATTCATCGTGACTAATGCTTGTCATCTTATACAGTATGGTGTGAGGATTTTTGTGATAACGTCCTTCAAGGACACATGCTATATTGAGATTCTTCCTCAAATACAGAAGTCAGACAGAAGTAAGTATTTTCTATCATTTGATGTACAAGTTTATTTTTCCGGATCATGAAACTTAAGAGCAGGTACAATTTTCTAAAACAACTAACTAAGATTTGTCAGATGACCTGACCTAGCTTCAGCAGTACCTTAATTTGAGATTGCCTTGCTATGTAAAGCAAGGAGAGTTCAGAACAAAGCTAATCCAACAAAGTTACTCTTATTAACCCACATACTTTTTTGAATTTTATGATCTTAAATGGCTACTGAATTGAATCCCGTTGTTAATAATTTTAAATTGCAAGGATGAATTGTAACCAAGAAACTTGTGAAACATGACATTAGGAGAGTATGCACTACATTATTTTTGTAACTCAAGGTAGCACTGGAGTAAATTATTTAGTGTTGCAAAAAATAGATGCAATAAAAGCTAGAAGCTGAAAAGACCTGAATTTCACAATAGGACTCGCTCTTGTGATGGGAAACATATTTAGTCAAAAAGGTCTCATGGCTTTTAGTAATTGGTGCTGCTTTTGAGCAGAGTAGTGCAGAATGATGAAATTGTTGTTTTTTCCCTTTGGGTCAATTGGCAACAGCTACACACTATTCCTACTCTAACCTATACTAGGGAGGGCCCAATTGGGCCATGGGGGGCTAGAGGGAGAGAAATCCACCTCTAGACCAAAGGGGTGCACTGCTGCACACCCTTTGGATTTAACTGTGGATGCAAGGGTTTGAACCTGCAACCTGTATCCAGACTGCAAATCTATGCTTCGCCTGGTGGCCAACTCGCCTAAGGAGAGTTGGTTTACCTGATTCTCATGCGATTCCCCATTTTAGAAGTGTTGAATCCCCGAGAAATTGTTCTTCAATGTATTGGTGAAGAATGGAATGTATAATGTAAGTCCGCTAGTGTGTCGAATATATTCTTGGTTTTGAATTTTAATTGGAGTTTCCTGGATCACTTAACCATCCGTTTGGCTGGATAAAGCTTTCTCTGTTCTCACTTTCAGCTTTCTTATTGTCTTAAATGACATCTGTTGTCCTTTGACGTGTTTGTTTTACATGCTTTGGAAATGTCAATCTGGAATTTCCTCCTCTGCAAGGACCCTTTTTATCTTTTATATGTTACATCTGTGTGCTAAAAGTGAGAGATTGATAATCAGTTGAAGAGTACCGAGTTTAAGATAACTTCTGTTGATCCTTATTGTTATAATGTTTCCTGCAGTAATAACTTTGAGCTTCTGGGCAGAAGTGCACTATAACTCCATATATCCGCATGGAGGTAAGAACATTAATCCGCTTCTCTGTCTTTTTGTCTTTTATATTTTTTCTTCCAATTCAACACAATACTCTGTATACTCTGGCTCATCAAGGTCCTTTATTGCTGAATTTAGGAACCCTTGCATCTCCCATTAGCAGTGAGTTTATCCATTTAATTTGTATACAGTATCTTTGCTTTTGCTTTCTAAGTGTTGCATGTTTTAACATACGTGAGTGCATGAAGACAAGAAAATTTCTTTGGATGTAGCTCAACACTCTTTACCCAGGTCAATTAGAATGGTTAATCCAACTGTTTGTTAAGATTTTAGCAAAGATCAAGTCTTGATGCTTTTGGGAGATTAAAAAAACGATAATAGGCTAGTGATGGAGGGATAGGTGGTTTGGAAGATGGCTGTTGATGGGATGATTGCTTTAATTGGGTGTTTTTGATAGACGATATAATCAAGCAATTGTTGTTTTCAAGCATTTCTTACCGTCTTGAAGTTGAACTTATATATGTTTACTCTTTTCCATCAGACGCCTAAATGTTCACATTTTAACCTAGAAGGTAACAGTTTGTCTATATTAATTGGGTTTAAGTTTCAGACTGAAATGCTGTGCCTACTAATGTCTGTGATTTGCAGAATTTCCTGAACTAGAAAACAAGAAAAAGAAGAGATGGTGGTGGCCTGGCGGTTAAAAGTTGTTCAATGTAGAACACTGGTTGTTTAGCGTTGCTAGGTGGTTGATGTCCGGGATAATTTCCATGCAAGACGCAGTTGATCGATGAGCGTTGTTCACTTCGCATTCTTTTGTACATAGGTTTCTACTGTATATATATGTAGTAGGAGTTTAAACCCCTTCTTTTTCTGAGGCTCTATTCTTTTGTACATAGTTTAAAGATTTATGAGGAGAATTTTAACTTTTTGTGCGAGCACAGCACGAATGCTATTTTTTTTTTTTTTTTTTTTTTTTTTTTTGTCGACACAGGGGTGTCCGGGTCAAGACCCGAAGGTGGCTCGACTAATCCCCTGCGGCCCGAGAGGAGAGGCCCCATCCCCCGAACATGGTAACCCTGCACGACTCGAACCCCTGGCAAGCGCTCCTAAGGAGGCGTACGCTGCCAGACGAGCTGCCCAGGGGCGCGAATGCTATATGGCAATTACATCCATGCATAATTACTGTATCAGGGCTTAGAATATGCCACCGCTTTGCTAGATTTTTTTTAAAAAAAAAGAAGCTAAAATTGGGATACTTTCGCAAATTATTTATAGTCTCTTTGTTGTCCTTGGTTTCACTCATTTTCTGAATCGGAGGCACGATATGCGAGAATGCCTGCCAAGTATTTCTGCAGGGCAGCATATTAAACCATGGATACCACCCCAAAATAAGGGGGAAAAGTGGAGAATCTGATGTTATTTAACTTAGGTACTGTTGAGCAGAGAGATGAGTTGAGTGGTTTGAAAGGTGTGAGCGCAAGTGAGAGAGATTATGGTTCGAATCTTACTTACAAAAAAAAAAAAAACAAAAATCTTGGATCAAAGTGCGCAAGGAGTTCCCAAAGGTCATGATGCATAATAAGCATAAGGAGTTCGAATGCATCAAAGTGCATCATGATAGCCATTTTTACCAAGCTTTTTCCATCATTGAAAAGCGATCATGTACAGTCAATCTCTCTACAAATAATTGCCCAGTTACTTACACATGCTGATTGAGGAAAAGAGTCAATACAAATTCTTCCTCTCACTACACCTTCTTGACTTTCTAAAAACTATGCATAAACTTTATAAGAGGGCTACATACGGATGGAAAAGACAAAATGAAAGTCTTATTCCAACGGAAGCAAAAAAGAAGTGTGTAGTCTATCTACAAGTACAAGTAGTAGAGGTTCCAATCAACTAAAAGGCGCTGCTGCGGCTGAGCCACCATCCCATCTTGTTATATGGGGTTTTCTGTCATTCAATTCAAGAAGAGGATATTGCCATATGCTTCTCTGTATTCAAGTTGAATGTCATGTCATGGGGTGAATTCTTTTACCAAAAACAGCAATATGTTAAAAGAAGTGCTAATAAACCAAAAAGTCTGAAGACGCGGCGGGGTATTCACTCACCTCCAGTTGCTATGAGCTTCTCAACACGAGAAACAATATGCTTCCCGTAAGTGTATTTCTTTAACGCATTCAAGTGCACCTTAATACGAGAGACAATTAGCCCGCGGCTTTGATCATCACAAGTCTCGAGCACCTTCTGGACAACATAGTTTCCAAAGGGATCTTTCATCATAGCCTGCAAGGACATCATTAGCCGATTGAAAGTGTTTTTAGCAACGAATGACCTGAAAAAATGGCATCATTTTCTCCTCCTCCTCTCAAGCCTTGAGAGAAGAAGAACTAAAAATCAAAATAGAAGCACAGAAGGACCAAGAAATATGTCAGTAAAACAAAAGGTGGCCTGCCAAATCATCAAATCAAATGCTCAGTAACCAAAGGATAATAGCTGAATCTTGGCATGCGGGACTAAGATTTAAAAATCGACGCTGTAGCGTTCATTTTCATCGGTGGAACCAAGCATCTCATCTATCAGAACTTTACGCTCTTGTGGACCACCAAAAGCTAAGCACTTCTCAATGACATTGGAAGCAAATTTCTGCTGACTCATCTTCACAATTTGTCCAGCGAGCTTGCTAATGACTTCAGACCGTTCGCGGGGATTCCCATGTTGCAAGACGTGCTAAGCAAGGCGAAAGAACAGAAGAGTTTACATCATTGAGCATAAGAGAAAAGCAAATGCACCACATTACTTCAATACAAAAAAAAAAATGTAGATGTATGAAATCACATCCTGTATAAAGCGATAGAATCCCACCACCCCGCAGGGTTCCCTTGCCTCAATCACTTCTTGGTTATGTCAAAGCCAGTCCTGGAATTGAAAGGTATGCTGAGAAAGAGGCATGAAGGGAGTTAAATGATTGATGTGTAAAATTGTATCTTGACCATGAGGAAGGTGGTGGATTCCGAGTTAATTGTGAGGACATCTATTGCTGATCCTGGAGCCATGGAATTGACATTGGTCAAAACAGGATGCTTTGAAATGCCAAGGGAACGCTAAGCCTGGTTGTTTGGCTGTTAATTTATATTCCAGGTGGAAATTTCAATCCTCAAGATGTGCATAATAGCTGTTTCCGTGTATTAAAACTTTTTGCACACAGAAACAGGTCATTTTTGTTAAGATCACGTAATTGTTAAAGGCTTTCTGTTTTACTATTTCCATCATAGCGTCAAAATGCAGTGCACAGGTTTGATGAATGTTACAGTGAAGTCAATTGTACTGCAACACTGCTTATTATTATCTTTAAATCTTGGGTTAAAAACAAAAAAGTCCCCTGTGGTATATCTAATACACAGAAAAGTTTTTAATGATCTCAAAACATACAAAACGATACCTCATGTTTTGAATTAAATTGTAAACTAACAGAATTCGTTAAATTTAACGAAAATGACGATTTCAGCCGTTAAATGTATCGGATTCCGTTGAGTTTATCGTTAAATTTATCGGATTTTGTTAAGTTTTTCGTTAAGTTTACCAGATTTCGTTAGGTTTAACGAATTATGTTAGTTTACTATTTAATTCAAAATATGAGGTGTGATTTTGTATGTTTTAAAACCACGAAGGGCTTTTATGTGTATTAGATATACTGCAGGTCTTTTGTTTTTTACCCTTAAATCTTTAAAGCGTTTCGAGTTATATGACCTTTCTTCACAGTAATCATCAATTACCGCTCATGCCCTCATTTTCATGTCATTGACGTAATATGAATTGTTTGGCGCGGCCCCGGGGGTGGGGAAGGGACGAAGAAGAAGAATCCCCTTGGAATCTCGAAGTTGAGGTTCCTGTGATTCTGGCGGCTGTGAGAAACTTGTGTAATGGATTCTTGAAAGTAATCCGTCGAGAAAAATCCTTTTCCAGCCAATAAATAATCTTATCTACCAGCTTCCTTGCCCTTTCAAACAAGAAATAATAGAATCAGGAAGCTCTTCGTCACCTGCCAGCAAAGCACAACATAAGGAATGCGTTTCCAAAATACGTTTCCCCAAAGCAAAGGGAATAATGGGGAAAAAGGGAAGAAGGAAAAGGAATCCTTCTAGTATTATTGCAGGCGCACACCTTTGGGGTCAAAACGAAGACAAAAAGATTTGTTTTCCAAGGCAAGTGGTACAGAAAAAAAATTTAGGGGGCCGGGGGGGGGGGGGGGGGTTGTGTGTTAAGAAAAGCAACTAACATTAAATTAATCAGAGGTATTAGTTACTGTCATGCTGGGGAATGAAACGCCCCTGAGGTAGGGAGAAGGTAAACATGTTCGTAAATGAAAAAACTGATTTTCTTCTGTTTTGTTAACGTGTCATGCATCTAATCGTAATGGTATATACACTGTTAGTACATATAAGATTTATTTAAAAAGAATTAATCTTTTATACACTGACAGTATATGCACTATCACAGTTAGATACACGACACATGCAAAATTTAAGTTTTAAATTTAAATTCAAATTATGCGTCATATATCTAATGGTAAAAGTATACATATTAATCAATGTATTTATTTTTAACCATGGACTTTGTTAATGTTTATGGTATTGACGTTAGCAAAATTGATACAGTAAATGTGTCAACGAACTCATGTAAAACGGTCAACACGTTACCCTCGTTAGGTAAATGATCCCCTCATTAGAAGGGGTTACCAACTTCATTCTCTCCAGAATTTGCTTTGTCCAAAAGTAAAAGTTGAAATCCAAAACCTAGTATGCAAAAAAGAATTTCAGCGAAACAAGCTCTTGTTTTACAAACATACGTCCATGTAGTCGAGAAATGGAGATTAATTTTCTGTAGGTTCAAATCATAATTACTTACGAGGTGAAATACATCCAACCAATACATACTACCAAGATATCCCGTCCAAAAAATTTCATATCTTTTGCCAGCAAAAATAGACATGCCGCCAGATGAGGTGGTGAATGAAATGACACCAAATTTCGCACTATACCTGCTGAAGTGCAAACCACCTGGCAAGCATTCCTTGTGCAGAGTAAAAAGGGCTAGAATTCATTTCTTTATGTACAAGCCCATTTACGATCCATTGTCAAAACGAACACCTCACGTACAAGTCAAACATCTGCTTAACAATCAAAAGGAAGCAAGCTGGCTATGATCTTCCGGGTGACAAGCAAGGAGCAGCCTCCTTCCTCTTCTGCAGCTCACTAACTGTCCAAAAGGAGCTTTAAAAGTTATCCCAATTTCTCAACAAATGGTTCAATTAACGTTTGACCATTGATGATCTTCGTGGTTCCTATAATTAAGTCATATGCCATTCCCTCCTGCACAGTGAAAATTGCACGGAGACATTTAGCGATATTGACAAGATGACATGGACAAGATAACAGCAGCAGCAGATGCAATGGTGCTCGAGACAACAAGAAATTTAAGGTAAAGGTTGAAAACTGGAGACAAAGCAGGCCATTTCATAGTTCTTTGCCTGCAAGCAAGCAGTATCATATAATGCAAGACAGCAAGAGATTGCACTTTTCCATTTTGTCTTTTGCCGCCTAAGAGTACAAAGAAGCACTAAAGGTTTCCAAGGCCAAGGGTGGTATGACCAAGGGAATTAACACCATCAACGGAGCACAAGCAGACGCTGTCTGGCATATGGTTCACTGTCGTGAGACAGTATGACAATGAACCATAACCTTTAGTGATTCACATTTGAAATTACTAGAAACATGAAATTAGTCAATTGGCACTCCAATGAACAATACCAAAATAGTAGTACTAAAATATTCTTGCATTTTGATATACCGAAATGAGCACTAAAAGTAACTCATGATCTGTCAAACATTAAAAGAAAAAGTCATTTGAAACCTATGACTTGCAATTGAAAACATACCTGAGAGCTGAGGAAACGAAGGGCAGCGATTTCTGCAAATGTAACCCCTCCAACGAAAACAACAAGGACCAAAGAGCGCCTTCCATCTCCAACTCTGAAATTTCAAAAGGTGTCAAAAAGAGAATTTGGTTCAACTCTTAGCTTTTGAAACTCTTTGGCTCAAAATCCCTATCTCCAACCACAATTGGGAGCCAATACAGCTTTCATAATTCCAAACCTCTAATCAGATTCATTTAAAAGAGAGCATAAACAAAACCGAGAGAGGCAATATAGCATCAGAAACAGGAAGGAAATTTTTGTTGCTACCTAAACAATGTATTGCAACTCTAGACCAATGATCCTGCATTTGTACAGCATCACAGGATCCTTCTTCATATAGGAAGCAAACAATTATGACAACATCAATGTACTGCCTGAAAACTTACTTGGCTAAGTTGAGCACAGAACTGGAAATATTGTCATATGAACCGCCAACATATCCACTCTGTTGATAAGATAAACCATAGTAAGAGTCTTCTGCAGCGTCCATATCATAACAGGAACATGGAGTCTAGCAGTAAAAAGAATGAAAAAGAAAGTCAAGGCAAACACAATACTGACTCTCTTGGTTTCTGTATGTGGTCCTGGCAGTAACTTCAGTATATCTTCAAGAGGGCGCCTGAAAATTTATTTCACCACAAGATTACAGAAAGCCATATCTCATACTACTTCAAATAAGTTATATCACTCAATAACGGAAAGAGGTTTGAGAAAGTAGAATAACAATGAATTCCTAAATAATTAAAGTTATGGTTTGCTCTTGATCCAGAAAGCGAACCTTCAAGATGATGAATAGGACACTCAATTCAAAACATTCGAAGCATCCAGTACAGTAAAGACCTGTTTGAAGCTCTAATTTTACATGGTATTCAAAGAAAATGCATTTTAAAACTCTTTCAAAACTCAAGTAATAGAAAGATAAAAGTTTTTTTTGGTCCTCAATTTGAATGAAAAACTAGAGCTAACAATTCCTTGAATAACAACATCTTTTCTCAAAATATGTCAATAATTTATCTCATGGTATTTAATTGACACTTCCACTGAAACTCCATGGAGATACAAATTCTACTCTAATGCTTGATCTGAAATTCAAAAGGCACATCCGTATTCAGACTTGTTGTCTAAAACCATCTGTATTTAGACATGCTGTCTAAAATCAACTGTATTGAAAATACAGCGGTTAGTGTTTACTTCATCCAAGCACCAATGAAACATACACAACACTACTACTTTCCAAGAGAGGTTTTTCAACACCTGTAGTAGTGAATACAGACATTAAACATGCATCAGATGTTGTAGAAGCAGAAG